TGCCAGAAATATTACATAATATTTTTAAGTCAAAGTCAAAAGAAGAAATGATACATTATCCAGTTATGATTATGCATACATATGAATGTCTTATTAATGCAGACCAGTATTTTAAGTATCTACTCCTTAAGAAAACAATATAGTATCAGAAGGATCCACAACAAATTCATGTGCCACTCAATTATCACCCTCAAGATGCCAACAAAAAATAAAATGTTAGAATAAACAAATTCGGCAAAGTTGCAGGATACAAAACAAACACAGAAAAACCAGTCGCATTTCTATATGCTAACGATGAACAATCTGGGAAAAGGAAATTAAGAAAATAATTACATGTATAATAGCACCAAAAAAGGGGCACCTGGGTGGCTCAGCCATTAAGCGTCTGCCTTCGGCTCAGGTCATGACCCCAGGGTCCTGGGATCGAGCCTCACATCGGGCTCCCTGCACGGCAGGCAGCCTGCTTCTCCCTCTCACACTAGCCCTGCTTGTGTGTTCCCTCTCTCGCTCTCTGTTAAATAAATAAATAAAATCTTAAAAAAAAAAAGGCGCCTAAAAGAATAAAATACCTAGTAATAAGTAGGCAAAAGATGTGTACATTGAAAACTACAAAACAGGGGCGCCTGGGTGGCTCAGTCATTAAGCGTCTGCCTTCAGCTCAGGTCATGATCCCAGGGTCCTGGGTTCGAGCCCCACATCAGGCTCCCTGCTCAGCGGGAAAGCCTGCTTCTCCCTCTCCCACTCCCCTGCTTGTGTTCCCTCTCTCGCTGTGTCTCTGTCAAATAAATAAAGTCTTAAAAAAAAAAAAAAAAAACTACAAAACACTGCTAAAGGAAATTAAAGAAGTCACAAATAAATGGATATTCTGTGTTCATGAATCAAAAGACTTAGTACTGTCAAGATTACCTAGAGCGATCTACAGATTCAACGCAACCCCTATGAAAAACTTGATGTATTTTATAGAAACAAAAAAATCCACCCTAAGATTCCCATGGTATCTCAAGAAACCCTGAATGGCTACAACAATCTTGAAAAAGAACGAAAACTGGAGAATGCATGCTTTCAAAACCTACTACAAAGGTATGAGAATTAAAACAGTGAGACAATGACATAAAGAGACATACAGAACAAGGGACCAGAATGGAGGGCCCAGAATTAAACACTCACATAAACAGTCAAATGATTTTTGACAAGTGTGCCAAGACTATTCAATTAGAGGGCGCCTGGGTGGCTCAGATGGTTAAGCGTCTGCCTTCAGCTCAGGTCATGATCCCAGGGTCCTGGGATCGAGTCCCGCATCGGGCTCTCTGCTCCTTGGGAGCCTGCTTCTCCCTCTGCCTCTCTCTCTCTCTCTCTCTGTCTCTC